CCCCCTAACCCTAACCCTAACCCTAACCCCCTAGGGCTTCGCTGCCTCCGCCTGATGAAGAGCTTTACCAGCCTTGAAAGCTTGTGGTGCTGGGGATGGTAGACTTAGTGAGGGGGAGGGTGGAGAGTGGACCAGGAACCTTGTTTACTAACCCTGACCCTAACCCTAACCCTAACCCTAACCCAGGGCCGGCGGGCCCTGCTCTGGTTGCTGGGGGCCTATGGGGCCCGGGGGCCCCCTAACCCTAACCCTAACCCTAACCCCTAACCCTATCCCCTACCCCCTAGGGCAGGCGTTGTTTGTTTTTGCTGTTTTTAAAGCAAGAATGATGCGTTTTATTGCTGTTTTAATCTTTTATTGATGTATTTCAATACCTTAACCCTAACCCTAACCCTGACCCTGACCCTAGCCCTAACCCTGACCCTAACCCTAACCCTGACCCTATCCCCAACCCCCTAAGGCAGGCGTTGTTTGTTTTCACTGTTTTTAAAGCAAGAAGGATGCGTTTTATTGCTGTTTTAATCTTTTATTGATGTATTTCAATACCTTAACCCTGACCCTGACCCTGACCCTAACCCTGACCCTGACCCTAACCCAGGGCCGGCGGGCCCTGCTCTGGTTGCTGGGGGCCTATGGGGCCCGGGTCCCGGGGGCCCCCTAACCCTAGCCCTAACCCTGACCCTAACCCTAACCCTAACCCTAACCCTATCCCCAACCCCCTAGGGCAGGCGTTGTTTGTTTTTGCTGTTTTTAAAGCAAGAAGGATGCGTTTTATTGCTGTTTTAATATTTTATTGATGTATTTCAATACCTTAACCCTGACCCTGACCCTGACCCTAACCCTAACCCTGACCCTAACCCTAACCCAGGGCCGGCGGGCCCTGCTCTGGCTGCTGGGGGCCTATGGGGCCCGGGTCCCGGGGGCCCCCTACACCCTGGAGGCCTTTGTGGACGGCCTGAGGGGCGAGGCCTCTCCGGGGGTGAAGCAGGAGCTGCTGACGGCCGCCGTGCGGCTGTTTCTGTCCCGACCCGCCGAGACGCAGGACACACTGGGCCGCCTGCTGCACCACTGCATAGGTACACGTCCAAGTCGGCCATTTTGACCCTGACCCTAATCCTAACCCTGACCCTAACCTTGAACCTGACCCTAATCCTGACTCTGACCCTAACTCAGCCTGTAGGAGCCTCGGGTGGATATCCGACTCCTCCCAAATCCAAGTCGGCCATTTTGATTAGGTCATGTGACTAGCAGCTTTCTGAGGCGGGAACGAAACTTTACTGTCTATACGAAATCGGAAGATAAACGATGTCCTAACCCTGACCTTAAACCTAAACCTAACACTAACCCTGACCCTAACCCTGACCCTAACCCTGACCCTAACCCTGATCCTTTATAGTTATGAGAAATAAATATTTTTTGGTTAAACTTGTTTGGACTTATTGTACAAACCTATTTAACATCCACTATTTTAATATAATATTATGGATAGAGTTTAATTCAGTGTTTGCAAGATTCATTTCACTGTTTTTAAATTATTGTCTATATTGCCATGAAGCAATTAGGATTTTTTTGGCCTGGGATCTTCCTATTGGTGACCTAATCAAAATGGCCAAATTGGATGTGGGGGAGTTGGATATCCATCCTTGGCTTCCTGCAGACTTGATTAATGTTGGCGTGTTACTATTAGCCATTAGCCGCGGCTAGCAATTCAAGGCTAACGTAATGTTAATGATCATAAACAACGTAAATAAATAAATCCGAATACAACGTTTTAGTATCTTTACTTTTTTCCAGCAATTAGGATTTTCTTGCCTGGGATCTTCCTATTGGTGACCTAATCAAAATGGCCGTCTTGGATGTGGGCGGAGTTGGATTTCCATCCTTGGCTTCCTGCAGGACTTGGAGAAATGGCCTTTTAAAGCTCTACTTTTCAGCCATTGTCAGCCTTTTTTTTTGTAATTTGATCTTTTTTTGTAGTTACAAACCGATTTGGGGGCATTTCTCCACTTTATCAGCATTTATCAGCATCCTTGGCGTACTGTGGCTACTTGTGCTAAGCGTTGGTGTCTCTGCGTCCTCCAGAGGAGGAGGCGGACATGTGTGTTCGGG